TGGTAAGCAAAGCACGCTGAGTGGATTGAGCGCGCGGCGGCGCAGATGCGCGAGCTTGTCGAGTGAATATCCCTTTCTCACAGACATCACTGGAAAGTTTGTAGTTCGGTCGGATGTGTCAAAAAGATGTAAGTAAAACAATGCACAAGTTACATACAGTGGACTACCAGTGAAATTGATACAAATTTGGGACCAAAAATTATTCAGACCAAGTCTGGGAAAAAATTGAAGTTCAGGTTTGCATGAACCTGGTTGACAGCATGCCCAGGAGACTATATGCTGTCATTAAGGCTAAGGGTATATATAATTTTTTTTCAATATCACACACCCCTACATTATAGTTGTGATGTTGCAAACATGGTGGTTTTTGAACATCAGATGACTCTGTTTATGACTAAATTTAATTTGAATTCTGTTTTTCATTAAATGAAACTTCATGGCACTTAGTAACATGTATATGTCTTGTATAATGCTTTGTAATGAGCATTTTGTGTCTGTGCTTGTAGATGCCAGAGGTGTCGGTAGCAGGACATGATAACCGGCCCGGGTTGCTGGGGAAGCAGCAGGCTATGCCCCACGCTCTTGCACTGTACCAGCAGCAGATTACCATGGCACATGAATCTTCCCAGGAGGCCAAACAGCAACAATCACAGCCAACCAAATCTCAGCATAACACAGGGGGTGGAGATTCCAGTAGCCCACGGGTCAGGACTCGCAGCCCTGGTGTCTCTGACAGAGAGAGAGAAGGTAAGATGCTTTCTGTTTTTTATCCCTCTTTTCATTATCCTTTCATCTATTCCTTCAGTTCGTTTTCCTCCCCAGCTTTCTCAACCACCATCATTTTCCTCGGTTGTGTCTACTACACCAATTAAGCAAGTTCTGATGTGTGTGTCTGTGCACATGTGGAGTGAGTGGTAGTGTGGGTTGTAAATATAGTAAAAAAGGACCAGGCACGTGCAGAAGGGGGGGCTTTGGGGGCTCAAGCCCCTGCCCTTTTTCAAAATTATTCAAAAGTGCCCCTCTCAGACAAATAGCAATGATATTGTGGTCAATAAAACAAAATGCATTTGAATTATAATTAACCTGACAATGTGTACAAAACCGTAACTAATTGCTCAAAAGTCGGAAAATTCCTGTTTATTTTTACATATCTGTCAATCTGAGGTGTTGCTATGGGTTGTGTGCATTTTGCTTGACTGACTGATATTCCACAGTCTGTTCGGAAACCTAGACTCTCAAGCCATATATGGTTCTTTCAGTGAGTGAATAATCAAAGCTAGTGTGTCGATTTAATTAAAAATCCATGTATTATATATTTTAGAATATTACATAATTCATCAATGCCTGTTTGTCATGTATAATACACCAACCAATCATGATCTGGCACAAGTTCAAATTTCATTGGACAATAATGTGAAGTGGAGCGGTCATTTTACATTCTTATTTATAAATCAGTTGAAAATTACATGTGGCAGACAAGCTTATTTGTGGAGCGATCTGTGCGTGCGGTTTGTCTCATTTTATAAATCAAATTTCATCGCTGAGAAAATGGATGCTAAATGACTACAAAAGCACTGCACAAAACCGTGCAGTGCCAAAAGTTGCAATAATGGTAATCAGTATTCAATTCACTTATATTTATGTATGATACAGCGGTTGCTATTTCATGAAACTATCATAGTTAATTAAGCCCAAGTGCCATCTACAGGCCTATTATGTGAAGTTTAGGCTAGCGAAATGGTGACGTGAAAGGACTTTATTATATTACCATTTTTG